TTTTTTTTTTTAAATTTGCCTCCACATTTGAGTGCAACACCAACATCTCAACGATGCATAGAATAAAGTCTGCACCCTACATTTTTTCTTTTACGCTAATTTATTATACAAGGATGCATGTCAAAATATAGAACGTGTCGCTACTTAAGTTTCATCACAACCAGTAAAAATTAATTAACTCTGAAACCGCCTTTATGCCCTGATTGTTCTTAAAAAGTCTGTTTTTTAATAAATTATTATTATTATTTCATGCATTTTGTATTTTGTCTTGATGTTGTTTTGTTTGCCATTTATTGTGTAATACAAAACATTACAAATACTTACAGGCATAATCGGAATGAGTCTTACCTTTGTTGTAGTATGTTTTGAGGCCAACATGCAGTGATATGCCAGACAGACACACAGCAAAGCCCAACCAGTTGACTGTGCTCATTTTATCCCCCATGAACTCCACTGCCAGCAGCAGAGTGCACACCTCCTACAGAGAGAGACAGAGACAAAGAGAATGTCTTTGTGAAAAATATTCATGGTTTAAGGCTAATAAAGGCTTTGAAACCTAGCTAAACTGTTGACAAATGAAGAAAAACAAAACGATGAGGGTATACAAAGAGCTTCTGCAGTTTTGTTTATTACTCATAATTATGTGAAAGCAACAAAGATGTATTCTTTCTCACCTTAAAAATGCCTGCAATAGATAGCATCAGACTGGAGGTGCGGGACACCAGCAGGAACTCAGAGAAGCCCAGCCCAAATGCCAGCATTCCACCCACAGACAGAGTCACCAGAGAGTAGAGCAGGTGGGAGAGCTCACTTACCCTGAAGAGCTTCTCTGTGGTACTCACACTCAGCCCTGCTCAGTGATCACAGGATGAAGAAACAAGCAAACAGATCTGTAAGGATTGCAATGCCACTGGTAACCAAGATACATATTTTGCATGAAGTAAATGAAATTAATTTTATGACTATTCAAATTTACTCCATTGTGATTTTCATGACAAGTATTAGAGCAAAAATGATTCTTAAATTGTGACTACTATAAGTACCCATTATGGTAATATTTATTTTATTTTTTTATGTATATGGGTATATTTTTACCCACTACAACATTATAACGTCTTATTTTTTATTTTGAGGTAAAATATGGCCCTGACATTTCTTTGTGAGATTTGCACTTATGGAAGACAAAATACTAAAATACAGCTCAAATTAAAGACAGGAATCCCACACTTTCTAACCAATCAATGGCTTTGGCATTTGTTTGTGATGACTAGATGAAGATAATAATAATTAAAATTATTTTATATACCTTTTTCCTGAGTAAACGATGAGCGCCACCATTACGAATTCTAACTTCCGATTGGATGCTCGTCTGTTCCGGTCTCCTTAGGAACCCATTCAAATAATGCCCATCTGTTTTTAATATAGCTAACGTTGGCAGCTTCGTGTCATCTACACACTCATTAAACTTTGAAGAGTGAGGCACTGACAAATGACGGTAATTGCGATACTGTAAAGTGATGGCGCTATGGAGCCATGTGCTTTTTCAAAACATTTTAATAGGTTTAACATTAGATTATCAGCTTGGAATATACGCTAAATTGACTAGAATCACTGGAGACCAGAAATGCAAAGCATCCTTCCGGTTAAGAGTCAGGCGTGACTTCAGGAAAAACATCTATAGAGATCACACTCATAAAAGCAATTTCTAGGCAGCATAATATTTAACAACTGAGCATAGCTAGAAAAACAGCACTTTCAAATTGTATTAATTTCAAATGTTCCAGGCCTCAAAATCACAGTTTTGAAATACACATTATGGAACCTACACCGCTGTTTAAAAATTTGGGGTAAGGTTTTTATAAATGCTCTACAAGTCTGCATTTATTTGATCAAACATACATTAAGAACAGTAATATTGTAAAATGTTATATTTATTTATTTTTTAATACATTTTAATATATACAAAAAAACTGGTGTCAGACTGACCCTCATTAAGAAGAAACAGAGGAAAGAGGCCAAGGAACATGAGAGGCTGCAGATGGTACATAGTGTCTATGGGGTTCTGAAGGCCTGTGTGGCAAAGACAAGGACATAAGAGTCACGAGAATTCACCACTTCACCATACAGACCGGCGAACACAGTTCATAACATGTTGACTTACCAAGCTCTGCTTTCTGCATGAGCACTTGAGTAAGAGTCCAGCGGATCCCTCCGATGAAAGAGGCCAACAGGACCATGATGAAACCCTCCAGATTAAACTGAGTGGACTTCAGAGTGAACATGAACAGACCACTGGCTATCAGCAACACCACGAGGATAAGGAATGGGTTCTGTTAGGTTAAAAAAAAAAGTCAAGTCAAGTAAATACATCAACAGAAAATAAAATTGCATTCATGAATTTTAATGGTATCTTTAATGCAGCTAAAATCAAAAGTGAACATGAACTGGTTTATAATGGCTTCCTGTTACAATTGATTTTTACCCTCTTAAATCACCTAACGGCTTGGCAACTGCATGTATTACTGATTGTTTGCTATTAATGTTCCAGCACAACTCCCAGAATATGTGAAACTTTTAAAGTGCCAAAACTGGAGAGGAATCATACAGTTTTTACGCATTTATGAAACACTGCTTTATTTTCCTTTCCTTTCTTTATTTTGTTTAATATTTTTCTTGATGTTGTTTAAATTTTAATAGTCTATGCTTCATTTGAAATGTAGTAATCACCCTTTCTCTTTCCAGTCTGCACAGTTTTTTTCAAACACCATTCTCAAAGTGAACTTTTGCTTGTATGCTGTTATTTCTGTTTTATTTTGTGGTATATGCAAGCAATGACGGAGTGTCGTAAAACTGAAAGCCATTCAAAAGCAGTGATTTATCTATTTTATGGTTTATGATATTTTGTTTTTGGCTAGTAGAAATTCTAAATGGCTGGTAACTTAAATATTTGTAGCCAAATTGGCTTCTGAGTAAAAATAAATATATGTATGCCTGATTTATAATCGAGACTTCATCTGACAAAATCCCCATAACCATAAGATAAAGACAATAGCTGTGCTGTGATTTTGGCTATATTTATATGTTATCTGTTCACTAAGGGAAAAAGTTAGAAGCAAAAGAATGTCTTTTTGGCTAATACATTAGGCGAGCTAACTACTGCTCAGCTAAACACAGAAACATCTATCAAGATAAACACACTCACTGGCAAAAATAAATAAATTGGGTTAACATCTCACATGCAGTTTTCTCACAGTGTGACCTCTCAGAAAAACTCTCACAGCATATTTATTAAAGAGCATTTTAACAGTCCTTTAACATGATCTAAAAACGTCTAATCTAAAATGTCTGCTGTTAAAACATATGCCATCATCCTTCACCACAGTTGGAATGCACTCTCTTTAAAATGTCTAAATGTACTTTAACCGTCACACTCTATAACATGCCGTTCTCTAGTCCGGGGGTGATAATGATTATATGCGCACATACATAGAGATCAGCCAGTTCAACAAAGTTCACATGAAAAAATGTCTTATTAAATACTGCACATTGCTGCCTATGGCTAACTTAATGCATCTTGATGTGGCCTTTATGTAAGTAAAATATATGCTTAATGGGTCTGAACTAAAAATAGCTTCCTTTGAACATTAGCTTCCTTTAAGTCCTTTATTCAAGAATTGAGTGTATTTCACACTTACCGGCTCCTCCAGTTTGAAGACCAGAGAGAAAAAGAGAATGAAGAGAACAGCTGAAGACTTGGTCATGGTGTACCTAGAAGAAACCCCAAATTCCCAAGTAGTTTTAATTTAACTTGCTTTTCCTAAAGCAAACACCAGTGTTTGTAGGTCAAGTGCTCAGGTTTTAAGACTGGAATACACTACATGACTACTGCATTGATTTTGCCCCAATTTGTAGTCTGGAGGAGTTGAAATTAATTGCTAAAAGTCAGAGCCTGTCTGCAGATTTTGGGTAATCGGTGTTGACAGATTTCACAGAAAATAATGTAGAGAATGAAGGGAAGACAGATTTTTAAGCTTCAGGCTTTGATTTCATCCAGAAAATAATAAATGATTTTAGAACACATATTGTTTTCATATAACATTCATCTCCTAGCAACGAGCTGCCCAGTAAGCATTTACAAAGATGATACGTGAGAAAAAAAATTGTGATTCATCAAATTATGTAAGAAAAAGAGTCCAACGAGACATGTGTAGCAAACTGGTTGCCAGGAACAACACTAATACATTTATATATTTTTATCATTTTAACAGTCACTGCATAATCCCATGACTGATTCAATCAATTAAGTATGCATTTAATTAAATATGCATTTACAAATAGACAGCACATCTACATGTAAGACTAACAATATATATGAAATGTTTGAATGAAGTCTGTGGCTGTGTTCAAAATGGCATACTTGCTAACTGCTTACTGCCCAGTACACAGTATATACTGCCTACTATTTTTTAAGAATAGTGTGTGAAACAGTATACAATAAGCAACAAAATGTTTCAGAGTAGTATGCTACCGTGTTGTCAGATGACAAAAAATGATCCTTATTAATTCAGCACAGCTGTTGAGGTAGTTACCTTACAAATAAATGTGTGAACCATTCTTTTTACAAAGGCTTGTTAATAATTATGCATACTAGTAAACAATGCTGTATTGCCCAATTGAACACATCTCATAATTAATTAACTTAACATGCTGAACAGAACTGGATCAACACTAAGCTGTCTTTAACTGAACAATATTTTCTTTTTGGCAGTTACACTTAGTGGAAAAAGCAATATATTCTAGTTACACTAAGTGCAAATAATGATACGTTTTGTTTGTTTATTTATATATTATATTACTACAATATTATTGTTATTTAATATCTTTGAAACAATCTGTACTGGTATAAAGTGCTATAGCGATACCGGTGACGTCATTTGATTTGATCGGAAATGTGCTGTAGAAATTAAGCTACAATTTATGGCCTTCTAACGATATTGTTTCTAGATACAGAGCAATAGTTTGTAGTTTACAGTAATATGTATATACATATAAAAGTGTTACATTTATAATTACTATCCCCCGTCTCCAGTTCACTCACAATTTGAATATGAAACGTTACATGGAGCGAGTTGCGTTCTGGAAAACAGTATCCCATGCACTTGTCTTGTGAATACATCAAATTTAAACAAATGTAGCAGGTAATCCGGGAATTCCATGCATACAGAAAATTCACATACTATTCACATTATACACACTGCATACTGCAATAAAGTAGGAGTTTTATGGTAGTATGCCATTCTGAACACTGCTTGTACTTGTACTGATTTCAGTGTACTTGAGTTATATTTAGCAGATTCTGGCATTTGCCAGATAGTAGGTCATCCGGGTATTCCATGCATACAGAACATTTGCATACTATGCACAGTGTACATTCTGGATACTGCAGAAATAGTAAGAGTAGTATGACACAATGGCATTTCGAGCACAGCATGTACGTCTGTACTAGAACTTAATGTTAAGGGATGTTTTATGTTTGAGAATTAAGAATAAAAGTCTGCCTTGCAAACACTATAAAATCCAATCTCTCAGGTAATAGCATGCTTACAAACTAATAGTGATGAAAAGGAAGCTCCAGTTGGACAATCCGATATCCAGCGTTGTTGCCAGGGCTGATGGACACAGACAAACAGTTGTACACATATTACTGTATGATGAATCATTGTCTAAGCATATACTGTACATCATAAATCATTCTATGCTTAAACTTGAATAATGGGCTTGTGGACAAGATTCCAGAATACTCGAGCAGAGATCAACTAGATTCGCTAAATTCAATCAGTGTGGACTTCACCCACCCAAACTGTGTGCTGGATAGAAAAGATAACAGGTCTTATCTCCTCAGCTACCATTATGGAAAACATTCAAACACATTTTTGGTCTTTGGACTCACTGAAGAATTTTTTCCCAAAACAAACAAAAAAAATCTTACCTGTCGGGGCCACTTTAGAAAGGTAAACCTTCCAGGGAAGTGTCACTCGAGGCTTTCCCGTCCAGCATTGCATGGCAAAGCGTGTCAGTGTGGAGAAACTGAAAATGATTACGAGATGGACCAGCGTCATGAACAGAGGAAAGTGGAAGTCCTGAGACAGATAAAAAAAAATTAAACTTAAAATTATACAACACAAATGGACAAAAATACGTGTTCTTTTC